TTAAGGAGGGTGTTGTTCAGTTTCCATGTGTTTGCTCTTTTTCCCATTGATCTTCCTATTGTTGATTTCTAATTTGATAGCATTGTGATCTGGTTTGCAATATTTCAATGTTTTTAAATTTATTAAGGCTTGCTTTATGGCCTAACATATGGTCTATCATGGAGAATTTTCCATGTGTCCTGGAAAAGAATTTATATTGTGCTGCTGTTGGACGAAGTGCTTTGTAGATGTCTATAATGTCATGATGGTGAATCGTATTGTTTAGCTCTTCTGTGTCTTTGTTGAGTTTCTTTCCAGTTCTATCTTTCATTGAAAGTGGTGTATTGAAATCTCCCACTATGACTGTGGAGTCACCTATTTGCTTTTTCAACTCTTTTAAAGTCTGATTTATGTATTTTGGGGCCCTTTCATTGGGGTGCATATATATTTGTTATACTTATATCTTCTTGTTCAATTGACTCTTTAACATTATATAATGTCCTTCCTTGTCTCATATAGTGATTTTTGTTTTAAAGTCAATTTGATCAGAAATTAATATTGCCACTCCTGATCTTTTTTGGTTGCCATTTACTCAATATATCTTTTTGCAACCTTTTATTTTCAGTCTATTTCTGTCTTTGTCTCCAAGGTGTGTCTCTTGTAGACAGCATATTGAAGGGTTATGTTTTCTTATCCAGTCTACAACTCTCCGTCTCATGAGTGGTGCATTTAATCCATTAACATTCAGTGTGATTGTCAACAAGTATGAATTGGACGCTGTTCTTTTGTTATGTGTTTTTCATCATGTTGCTGTTTTCTTTGTTCCATATAATTTTCTGTGCTGAGCTCATTATGTTTATGAATCATGTTATCACTTCCTTTGTTGCTAATGTTTTGGTATTTGCTAAATACTTGTGCTTGTTCTTTTTATTGTGATGTGAAGGTTTATAATTTTTCTTTGAGGTTACGCTGTGACTTATAATTTTCTCCCCAGGTTTAGAACAGTCCATTCTATCTTGCAACTCTCTTGACTTTCTCACCATTTAGAAGTTCTGGAACTACATTATTTTCCCCTTCATTTTGGTTTGTAGTTGTCTTCATCTGCCAATTGATGTCTTTGGTTCCTTGTTTACAATCTTGTAAGCTTATTTCACTTTGGATACTTCCACAGCTGTGGTTTCTGGGTTATGTCATCTTGTGTATTAATGGTCAGTTGTTGTTTTCTATTATTGGTTCTCTGTTGAAAGGACTCCTTTTAGTATCTTTCAGGTTGGTTTCATTTTAACAAATTCTCTTCATTTCTGCTTATCTGGATATACCTTAATTTCACCGTCATATTTGAGGGACAATTTGGCTGGGTATATAATTCTTAGTTGGAAATTTTTCTCTTTTAGGGTTTTATATATACTATCCCATTGCCTTCTTGCTTGCATGGTTTTTGCTGAGAAATCAGAGCTTAGTCTTATTGGTTGTCATTTGTAAGTAACTTTTCATTTTCCCTGTGCTGCTTTCAGGATTCTTTGTCTTTGGTTTGGATGAGTTTGATGATGATGTGTCTTGGTAATTTTCTTTGGGGTCTATCCTGTTTGGGGTTTGGTGGACTTCCTGAATGGATATATTCTCATCTTTCATCATATATCAGGGAAGTTCTCTTCCAACAAATCTGGGACAATTTTCCCAGTGGTTTTATTTTTCTCTTCCTGTGCTGGAATTCTGATTACACATAGGTTATTCCTTTCAAAGGTATTCTATATGCATCTTAGGCTGACTTCATTTTGTTTTGATCTTTTTTCTGATTGATCCTTTTCCAAAGAAGTATTCATGTAATTTTCTTCAATCTCATTAGTTCTGACTTCCACTGATTTGATTCTACTTCTTTGCCCTCTCAATATGTTATCTATTTCTGAAATTTTAGTATTAATCTTCTGGATTTCTATCTGTAGATTTTTAATCATTTCTAATTTTTCATTTATTTTGTCATTTTTTTCTTGTATTGTCTTTCAAAAGTGTTCTAGGGTTTTGTCTGTGGTTTCCTTACTTTTGGCATTGTTTTACTTGATCTGTCTCTCAATTCTTTGAAGATACATAAATATAATTCTTTTGAATTTCTTATCAGGGAGTTCCAATGCTGCTTCTTCCTTGGGGATGTGTTCTGGGTCTGTATCCTGCTCCCTTGTTTCTACCACTTTTTCTTCCTTCTTTGCGTGGACCGTGATGGTCTGTTGTCTCTGAGACATTATGACGTTGTTGTATTTGGAACTCTATTACTGTTTGTGAAGAGCAGTTAAGGGTGAGTCAGGCTCTTCTTGGTGGTCATTTATTGTTGGCCAGTTGGTGGAGAAGGAAGTGGTGGCTCTCACTCAGTAAGTGAAACTGCAAGACATCCAAGTGTAGTTGTGTTGTATGAGCACTGTTGCTTGCTGTCCCCCATTCAGTTAGACAAAAACAACAATCAAATAACCATCCAAAAAGTAAAAGCAAGTGGGCAAAAAACACACCATGTAAACACACAGGAACAATAACAAAAAAAAGAAGAAGAAAAAATAAAACCCACAACATTTGGGGAGAGAGCAATTAGAGGGAAAAAAGGAAGAATAGGAGAATAATGAAGAAAAAAATGGGAAAAATGCAAAAAAAAGAAAAGCAGGGAATTGAGTTAACCATAAGAAAGAGAAAAATGGGAACCAGGAACAGGGAAGAGAGAAAAAGCTGAGAACTAGAACCTTGGAAGGTAAGAATAAAGAATTATAATAAAAAGGACAATAATAATTTTAAAACAGACAAAAAAAAAAAAACTAAAAGAAAAAAAAATCTGGGCAAGGCTGGGCAGGGCACCCAGGCTCTGTCCGAGCACACAGACTGGGATGGAATTCCTACTGGTCCAGAATGTGAGTGGTATTGAGGGATGGCCACATCTGCATTCACCAAGAGGGTGCGAGGTATAAGAGTAACAAGGGGAATATTGCACCTTTCTAGTTGTTCGTGTTCAGAATATCCTTGTTGTTCCCAGAAAGTGGAGCCTATTTTTAAGTCCCTGGAATCTGGGAGAATGCTGTCACTTTAAATATCTAAAATGGTCAAACCACTTGTAGACATTCAAAATGGATACGCCCTTCGGACATGCAAAAGTCCACAGCTCAGCCTGCCTTCCTCTTCGCTCCTTCCTTTTTTATTCCTCAGCCACCAGTGCAGTCCTCAGTGCAGCCCCTGTCTAGTAGGGCCAGATTTTTAGGTTAATTCTTAGGTTCTAACGTCACTTGGCAATATCCAAGCTGTCTGTGCCATCAGGATTGCTGACAGACTGCAGCTCCATATATCTCCATTTTTCCTCTTTTCATGTAAGTTCTTCTACTAGTTGGCATTTAGTCCACTTCTATATCCTTTCCTTCAAAGGCCAGGGATCCAGGATTATCTTTTGTATCCATGCTAATTGGTTTCCCTTTTTTGGGTCTGTGCAGTCCATCAGCCTATTCTGCCGTCTTATCAGAACTCTCTCTACCTAGCTTTTCAATCCACAACATTCCTCTTCATTCTCCATACTCCAGCCATTATAGGTTTATCTCAATGTATTAAACAAGCCATGTTCTTGTCTAATTTCAGAACTTAGCATTTACTATTTGCTCTACCAGGAAACGTTATTTCCAGCACCTTCTCTCACATTCCATCAACATTATCTTTGTTCTGTCTCCACACCAAACATATGCTCCCATATACAGACTCATGCTTTTAGCTTACTCAACTATTACTTTGTATTGCATCTCAGTTAAATATCACACTTTGAGAGAAAGTTGACAACTCAAGGAAGAAAGACCTTTATTTTATGTTCCCATAGCATATAACATCTTGTATTTCTCTTTCATAACTGTCATGGATTGAATTGTGTCCCCTAAAATTTGTGTCATCTTGGCTGGGCCATGATTCTCATGGTTTAGAAGTTGTGTAAAGTCACTCACTCACTTACTGTCATCAAGTTGATTCCAACTCATAGTGACCCCCACTGGGTTTACAAGGCTATAAAGCTTTATGCAAGTAGACTGCCTCATATTTCTTCTGTGGAGTGACTGGTGTTTTTGAATCACTGGCCTTCTGGGTAGCAGCCGAATACCTTAACCACTACACCACCAGAGTGATATCTCATGATATGATAAACCAGTCAGGTATAAAAAGAATAAAATTAAGGATGGGTTGCAACTCCTTAGTCCCATCACAGCCCTGATCTGATGTAAGGGGAGATTCCCTGGTGTGTGGCCTAAAACATCTTTATCTTATAAGAGATAAGAAGAAAGAGAAGCAAGCAGAGTGAGGATCTACTACCACCAGGAAAGAGGATCCTGAAGCAGAGTGTGTGCTTTGGACCTAGGGCCCCTGCACTGGGATCCTCCTAGGAACAAGAGATATAGAGAGAATGACAGTCTTCCCTTAGGGGTAGCACTCTGAACTTGGACTTCTAACCTCCTAATTTGTAAGTGAATAAATCTCTTTGTTAAAGCCATCCACTTGTGGTATTTCTGTTATATTAGCACTAGAGAATTAAGAAGATAACATTCACAAATATCTCATTTTTTTCTGTATCATTTCCAGGTTGTTTTATAAGGGTATAGTCCTATTTGACTTTAAAACTGTTGTAGTCCACAGTATGCAAAACAATAGTATGTGATAGGCACTTACATATTGGCTATTGAAAAAATGAATTAATAAAGAGAGACATAATTTTTGTTCTCAATAGAAAAATAATAGACCTACTCAAATTTGTTGAAAACTTTTGATCTTCATCATAAGGTGAGGGATTAATTGCTAGGCATGTAACTGTGAAGTCAGACAGTATGGGCTTGAAAATTAGCTCTGCTATTTTAGCTGTCACTTTTTTAAGTTTCATTTTCTTCACTGGTAAAATGGAGATAATCATAGCACTTACCTCATAGTTTGTGCTGTGGATTCAACATGAAAACATAAACGTTTACCTCCATACTTGGCACCTAGTAAAGTCTCAAAAGTAACAACTTTTATGATTATTTTTTTACCTGAGGATCAAAAAGAAAATAAGGACGTCCATTCTTCAACTGAAGTGCAAAAAACTCCTCTTGATTGCCAGGAGATGCTCCAAAGACAATCAAACCTTCAGGCACCCTTGTTCGGAAGCTGGCCTTAATGCCTGGTGAGACAAATGTGATCAGCAAATCAGTGCTGGCATTTTGTTGATTCTTCTTGATAAATGTACATTTACTTTCATTATTATTTATGATGTACTGAGTACAGTCAGAGAATTACACACAGCAATGTACTAGGTTGATCCTAGTCATTTGTCTTTAAATATATCCCTTTATGAATGCCAGCCTGTACTTAGAAAATCAAGCTTGAACTCTTGTGGAGTTTAAATCTTTGCAGAAGTCAGTCATGAACATATAAGGGTCTGTGGTTAATGCAAAATCAAGTATCTACATGAAAATATTATCAGTCATAAAATTTTTTTTTGTATGAGTGAAAAAACAAATGGGATCTTGTTCAAAATTTTATGAGATTCAGAGTCAGTTGAGTAATAGATGCTGAAAACTGGATAGATCCACCATGAAGTGGTCCATAGAACTAATTTCCTGGAATGCCTTTCTATAACCATTCAGTTTACAGCCTTCAAAATGTGAGTTTCCACTGACCTTTACAATTACCTGTTGCTATTGTCTTAAACACACAATGCTTTTGTCCCATCAAACTCTTCCCAGGCAAGAAGGTGCAAGTTGTGAGAGTCCTATAAATGTGTTATCACTCTCACCATATGGCTCCACTACCATTCTACCTGGAATCCCACTTACTCATCACATACTATGGAACCCTTCCTATATGTAAGAGATTTTACTTAATGGATTGAAATGGAGTATAAGAGTCATATCTTTATTCCGTATATGCCTGAACAGATAAGTCATACTGTGAGAATAATATAACAGCTCAAAAACATATACAATAATCAAATAACAGTTTAAAACATAGTATCATACAATTAACAAATAATTATTGGAGTAATAATACAGTTGGATAAGAGTTATGGAAATTTGAAGAGAGAATTCCTTTGAGATTGGGCTGGTTTCCAAAGGTTCCATATTGCTTTTGTCAGTTGCCATCCAAATGGCTCTCAAATCATAGTGACCCCATGCACAATGGCCCCATTGTGAAAATGAGATTTTTACAGGCTGATTTTTCAGAGGTTGTTCACCTGGCCTTTTTTCTTAGGGGTGCATTGACTAAGAATCAAACTTAGGTCTCCTGCATGAAAGGTGAGAATTCTACCACCACCACTGTCACCCAGAGTTTTATGTAAATGGTGGATTGAAGTTAGGTTCAACAGATTGTAACCACTTCAAGGTCAAGAAGCATGTCTAATTCATCTTCCTATCTCCAGTACTTAACACAGTGTCTAGCAAGACTTAGTAAATATTTTTGAGAGTCTGGATGAGGAGAAGGGAAGTGATGGTACACTACAAGTAAGGCAGAAGTTTTAGCAAAGGCTTGGAGATGAGAAAAGAAGATATTTTGTGAGTATCAGATTGTCATTTATTCAATATGTACTTATGAGACATTAATAGTTGTTGAGTGTTGCTAAACAGGCTCAGAATAAAAACTAACAAGCCAGTCCTTCACATTAAATCTAGTTAAAAGATATTAAGAGAGAGAAAGAACAATTAAAAAAAACCTTTGAGTATAATAAGCAGTTTAGAAATATATACAAGATATTTGGTCCAAATAAGACTGAATAGGACTTCACAGAGAATATGATGAATGTACTTGTTTTCAGAAAACACCTTTGGGGAAAATGTTTTAAAGGTCTGGAGTATGGAAAGTTCTGAGGAAATCTGCAAGGAAATGGAGATAAGAGTCCAAAGAAATAAACAAGAGTATATCTCAGCCTGTAGGCTAGAGAAAAAAAGTTTGTATAGACAACGGTGGAAAAATACAATGTGTTAGAAGTTTCTATAGAGTGTTGTTTCTTCATACTGGCAATGTGTAGTCTAGGAACTGGGCTTCAAACTTTCCAAAGATACAGCTCAAATTTGTCCTGGACTTCATTGCTTCTATATCTTCATCTTCAATATTTTATGCTTGGTCCTTTTTGAACACACTTTTTCTACTCATTTTGCTATCTCACGGCTTCATACTCTCTGATTCTGTTACTCCTGCCTGCTTGGATGTATGATCTTACTGTTAGACTCCACACCTGGTCTATCTTGGCAGCTCTTCTATTCCACCGAATGCTATTGTTGGCTTCAAAAGACACTTTTTGACAATACACACAGTTCAAATTCAACTAAACCCCTGACACTAGGTTATTTTTGCCCTCATATTCCCTAATAAGTGAACAGGAAAAGTTGAGCTACCAATGTGAATTTCTCCTACTGGTAAAACAAAGACATTAAAATTTAAGACTATAAGGCAAGTAGGATGCTGAAAGTCAGGATCTGAGCAACTGAACTAATTGAATTTATAGAGAAAACAACAACAAATTAGTCACAGGAGAACTACTTAGGAGATTACTGTGCTCTTTAGAATAAGATAAAGATTTTAACTAAAAAAACAAACTAACAAAAACTGCCATAGAGTTGATTCTGACTCATAGTGACCCTATTGGAATGAGTAGAACTACGATATAGGGTTGCCAAGGCTGTAAATATGTATAGAAGCAGACTTCCTCATCTTTCTTCTGTGGAGTGGATTCTGGGTTCAAACCACTGACCTTTCAGTTAGCAGCCAAGTGCTTTACCTACTAAGACCTCAGAGTTCCTTAAGAATTTTAGTTAATAACAAGCAAATAATGAAACTGAATGAAAGGATGAACTCTAGACATATGAGAAGAGACTTATCAAAATATATAAATAATAAGGTGATGGTTTGGGGCAAATAAGAAAAAAAAGAGTTCAATATGATCAACTGCTTTCACCAATTACAGAGAGAAAGGTGGCATCATTAATAAATAGAAATGTCAGGTTAGGGAGGAAATTTGGGGTTGAGGAATATAGGTTCAGTTTTAGGCTCAATTGAATTTCTATTAATGATGCAGAAAAATCTGTCCGTCATCTGGAAATGGGAAATTAAGTCTCTGGGAGAAGATGGCTAAAATAACAATTTGGAAATCTTCTGTTATAAATCCCTGCCTCTGAGAGACAGAACACAGAGAAAGAAAATCAAAGAAACTTCGGGAGTAATGCCAACATTTGAGAAAAGGAAATTATAAGGGCAATGATAAAGTCAGATCATTCAGGTTAATATTATAAAAGAAAGCCTAGATAGGAGACAGCTTTAAGAAGGCAAGGTTTGTTAACAGTGTCAACACTTCTATAGGTTAATAACAATTAGAACTGAATAAAATCTATGGACTGGTAATTAGAAATCATCAGACATAAAATCTTTTACAGTTGAGAATGGCTAGATTCCAAACTGTTGGGTGAAAAGGATTGAGGAGATACATAATTAGGAACTGGGTGTAGAACATTCATTTGAAAAATCTGTTAGTGAAAGAAATGGGAGACAAAGAAAAAAATGTTAGGTTAGACCAGTCAGGTGAAAGGAGACATCTTCCAGTAAAAGTATAGCCAAGACATAGCATAACCTTGGTCTGTAATCTGACCAGAGAATAATGCTATTTCTACCATCTTTTTTCTTCTCTTAAATTTTATTCCATTGGTTCAATGTAGCACTCTCATGTCTGTGTTGTCTTTCTGTCACTATTTGTTGCTTTAAAGTACTGCTAAGCTATTGCTTTAAAAGTAAACACCCCCAGGCTATTTAATAAAGTAGCTATAATGCTGGATATGAAGACAACAAACTCTTCTACCACTGTGGTGCAGGTATCAATCTATCAGTAAAAGAGTGTAGAAATAACAATTGATCAAACAAATCAATAACTGTTAAATGTGGGAATATAATCCCTTTTCCTTAGCACAAGAGAAATTCGGTGAATGCAACTGAATCAGAGTAAGAATTACAGGTATATTTAGCCAATTTATACTTGGAAATGAATAAAAAATATTGTATATGATTATTGAATGGCAAGTATATATATATGTTTTCAACAACATGACATTTAATTTACATGCTTTTTAACAACTCATCTAGCACAGAAATGTAATTTTAGTCCAACTAAAATATAATACTTTATACAGATCCAGATAAATTTCTCATGACAAGAAAATATTTGGTGAAAGAAAATTTTATTTGATGATGTATGGTAGACTTTACCCAGCTTTTTCAAATAATTCAAATTTGTTATTCTTCTCTTTACATTATCAATATAAGTAATCAACGATTGCTTTTTGCATGGACTCTATGATGAAATAAAAAATGCACACCCTATGGAAACATCATGTTTTGACAATTAGTTCATTATTGGTATTAAAAAAAAAAAAACAACTCATTGTCTTCGAGTCAATTCTGACTCATAGTGACCCCTCCTTGGGTTTCCAAGGTGGCATCTCTACAGAAGTTGATTGATTGCCCAGTCTTTCTTCTGAGGACTGGCTGGTGGGTGTGAACTGCCAGTCTTCTGGTTAGCAGTCAAATGCCTTAGGCACTAGTTAAATCCTATCTTTTGAGTCATATGCCTTCACCATGTAATGAATTATTTAAATATACTAAATTCACAAATGGATGCATTTTAATATAAATGGAGAAATTATTTTTATGAATGCATACAGCATTTTGAAGAAAATGTTAATGAATTTACCATGAGGTACAGTGGTAGAATGCATTGTTCAAAATTATTCATACTCTCTTTTCCTATAAGAAAGTTATATTTTTATATATCTGTACCCAATGACTTTAGGCTCAGCCATGTGATATATGTTGGTCAAAGGAATGTAAGCAGATATGAGGCGCCAAAATGTAGACAGAAAATTTGAATGCAGTTCTGTCATTGAACATGACCTCCTGGTGTTCCCTTATGTGTCACTGAAGTACAAGAATAAAAGGACATGGGAAGCAGTTAGGCAATACCAAAATATATAGTTTGTGTTAAATGTTTATGTTAATTTCCAGTGCTGAATAAAATAAATGGAAAAGTGAAAAAAGACATCTTTCTCATTTGCTAAGATGCATATTTTGCTAAAAAAAGAAAAAAAGCAAGACAGAGGAAATGTTCTAGAGCTAATTTTTTTTTCCTGTTTCAAGTGT